TATTTATTTGAAAACTGGCTTAAAAAAATCTTTAATAATTTCTATTATACCTTCTTTATTTCTCCCATTTATACATCTGGTATCATATAATCTCTCCATAATTACCTTCCCCTTCCTACATTGTACTTCACGTGTTTATGTATTGATATAATTTAATTTATGCGAAAGTATATTTATAATACTGTTCACATGTTTATAATTATATTTTTCACCTGTTCGTATCTCATTCATCTGTTTAATTTTAAAACCCCATCTTCATACATATAATGAATATTATGAATGAATTTCTCATTATCATATTTATTAATATTCATATTTTAGTACACCTGATATTTTAGTACACCTACCATGTCCAGCTAAATGTCAGCGAGTAATTAAATATAAACATACAATAAAATTAGTATCATTTTAATGCATCTTTAATAATCACCGGCAAACAACCATAATTTATGAATACATTTATTTTTAATAATTTATTGACTTATAAACGAATATTTATTTATTTTTTCTCAAACTGAGATTATTGGTACTTCATTTATTCGCAATAATTTAAGCGACATTTTGAAGTTATTTTATTCCTTTAAAAAAAAATAATTAAAATACTTCTTACTTGGAACCCTAAATACCTTTTCGAGGTACAAAATGAATAGAAGACATATCAATCCAGCCTGTAACGTTGTTAGAGGCATGTCTGAAGTATACAATATGGTGGATTGTTGTCTATTTTATTTCCTTCACAGAGAGGGTTCAATTAGTAAAGATATTATCCACTGTAGATCTTCATTCCTCTACTAAAGCCGTTTTGTTATTTTCTTATTGCTACGGCATGGAAGTATAATCGGTTATAAGTAGATTCCAGAAAAAAATTTTATTTGATTGGAGGCTTATTGTTATTGTTATTTCTTGTTAAAATGATATTTCTTTGTAATTTTTGTTCATATAGCTATTTTGTCCAATAAAAATATAAATATTTAATATTAATTTAAGTATTTTTATTTTGTGAATAATTTACTTTGATTATTTATATTTATTGGTAGCCTTGAATTTATTTATTCTATTATTTAATTTATTTTATTTCTTAATTTTGTTTCTTTTGTAACTCTGACAATAATAGGAACAATTTTTCATTGTGACTATGCTGGCGGCTGGTATCAGGATCCTCAAGCACGCTATTCCTAGATTCTCAATAGTACTAGAATGAATCCGAAATAAAATATGTGTCTACTGATCCTCAACATTTAAAATTTCCTGACAAATTACGAAAGAAATGATCACTTAATTATAAGTCCATTATAAGTCTTAACATATGGAAATAGTTAAAAACGAAGATATAAATATTTCAAATTTTGGGAGAAGTTCCCCAAGGTTCAATACTGGCTCCTCTACTTTATATTGTATACACATACGATATACCTGTTAGCAAGGAGACATTGACAGCTACTTATGCAGACGACAGAACAATCCTCACAAAACATCAAGATGCTACACAGACCTAACTAACTTTACATCATTTACTTAAATAACAAGATTAGGTTAAATTGGACTTAATCAAGACAAAACCAAACATTTAACGTTTACACTACGAAAAAACACGAGCCCTCAGTTTATATTGACAATAATCAAATTTCTCAAACGGGCAGGATATTTTATCTAGGCCTTACCTTCGACAGAAGGATGGTATGGGGCCAGCATGTAAAAATGCATGTAAAGATTGACATTTAACAAACGGCTTAAACTACTCTACTCTATTTTTTCAAAATCAAACCTGAAACTCAATCATACACTGAATATATATATACATATAAACTAAAACCCATATGGGCATACTCATCACAAATATACGGTATCGCTAAAGAAACCCACCTACAAAAACTTCAAATCTTTCAATCAAATTTATTGCGACTCATCACAGCCAGATAGATATACGGGGAGGGAGGGCTTTCGGGCTGAAGCTTCCCCCCCCCAAAATGGTAAAATATAACCATGTTTTACAGAAAAAAATATTAAAAACTATCTCTTAAAGTATCCTTGTTCGTTTAATTACATTTAATAGGACTTCAAGAACTACTTATACACCATTTCGTATAGGTAGTTAATTTCTTTCTTTTTTTAAAATTAATTATAGTTATATGTATATGGAAAAAAAAATCTTTCGGGCTGAAGCCCCTCCCCCCCCAAAAAAAATTAAATCCTGGATCCGCTAGTGCGACTCATAACAAAAACACTATGGCACGTGACTAACAAAACTCTACATACTGACCTCCACATTTCAACAGCTGACCAACATATAATACCCATTCCCAACGATTTTATACAAATTTACAACAGATTAATAAGAGACATGGCAAATTGGACTTCATCATGACAAAACCAAACATTTAAGGTTTACTCTACGTTAAAACACCTGTCCCCCAGTTTATATTTATAATAATCAAATTCCTCAAACGGATAGAATATTTCATAATGACCTTACCTGACATTATTTCTCGTATTGCAGCACATTTCCTGATTATCGACACAAGTTGACAGGCGCAAATAAATATTTAAAGCCAAAATATAAATAATTGTAGAATTGTGATCTGATTAACACTCTCCCATATCTATTATTCGGATTAATAATAACTACGAATAACAATAATTAAAATGTTAAAAATGTGTTAGCAATGAACAAAATTCTTCCTTTGCGCTCACCGACTCTGACTGATAGATTTGTCAGAATTTATCAGTGTGTAGGGAACTTTTAATTTAATTGTTTTATTTTAACAACGTATTTTTTTTTACACAGATTTTATTAATATATATATATATATATATATATATATATTATGTCTTTATTCCATTTTGTGGTGAAAATTTCAATTTAATATCAATTAAATATTTCAACATATGGTTTTGGTGGCAAATGAGCTTTGTAAACTTATTTTTTTAGGAGAAGACATTTTCTTTATTATGTATTTCCTTATTCTACACATTTAGGTATTACCTAACTTAAAAACACATGTAAATCACATCTCTTCGTAACTGAATTCTTGTATTTTCGACATTCATCGGTAATTTGGGAATAGCAGGTTTTGAGTTGTGTCTTAAATCCGTCCGCCATCTTGGTGAAGCGAGAAGAAACAAGTACCCTTATTTTCGTTTAATCTGACAGATTTTTATAAATGGTAATAAAATCTGTTTACAATAAACAAAAAAAAAAATAAGTAGCAACCCTCTTTTGTTGCTATATTAAAATATATACATATATTAGACATGTATTATCATCCTTGTTGTGGTACAGTGGAGGTTGATATTTGGTTTTTGTTTGTTGTGGAGGTTGATGGTTGTCTTTCTTTTTATAATATTATTGAGGAGTGATTATTTCAGAAACACTTGTAATAGTGAATATATTTTTTTTTTTAAAGCCTAAAATTATTATAATTAAATTATCAAGGATAGGAATGAGGTAAGGACGGGGATGTTAAAATAAAATGAAATATTACTTAAATAATTTACATAACAACATTTAATGCTGTATTCATTCGTACATATCACATGACTAAGCTACCGTATTTACAATAGCTATACAATGTATATAAGATTCTTTCCAAGGAGGTTACTTAACCTAACTCCATCCAGGTTAAGTACATTGGTGGATCTGTTTTTACTAGAATAAATTAATATTTATTTATTTATATATATAGTTTTTTTTTACATTTTTTCATCGTTTTATGTTAAATTAACGTATACAAGGTTTTGTACAACAGGTCATAGCCTTCTTTAAATTCTCTTTACAACTTTTTATTATGTACACAATTGCACAACACAAGCATAATAAACATCTTTTATTTAAACATATAAATTAATGGTAATATATATAAATTAATACTGATTTGCTCTATGTTGACAATACAACATAACGATAGATTTTTTTTTATTACAATGTGCTCTTTTTTAATTTTTTATATATTTTTTTCTTTATACATTTAAACTCATAATTTAAATATTATATACATATCGTTACAACTTACAATAACAAAATAATAAAAATAAAATTGCAAAAAGATGTCACCTGTTTTTTTTTAACATCCTTTTCCAAAAAAAAAGTGAGGAACTTGAAACTTACTTAAGTACATCTCATAGAACTTATTCATGAAATTGAACTGATTTCTTAATTTTATTTATTTATTTCTTTTTTACAAACAGACATTGCTAACCGACATGCATTTCTAATTTCACAAACGTATAAAATGATGAGCTACCTAAGAACAATAAATTGGTGAAAATACGTACAAGACAGGTAGTAGCATATTTACACAATAAAGGTGTTCGCATTTCAGCCATTCATCCCATAAATATATAAGAAAATATTCAATAAAATAAAATAAATTTAAATATAAAATTAAGTAATAGGGCAAAGAAAAATGACTCAGTGATCCTCTGGTTCGATTGTAAATATTTTTTTCGAGATTATCTGCGTCTGCGGTATTATTTTACTGATTACTGATTATTTTACTGTATTTAACTTAAGGTTTAATTTTTTTTTAATAAGAAATTAAAGGCATTTAAATTTTTTTCGCAGTTACTTGTTATGTATATATTTCCCAACGTCGAAGCCATATTGAAAAATTTCTTTGAATTATATTTTAAATAATGCATAAAGATATACTTTTTACATTTTATTTTCAATGTAACTAAATATGTAAAGGTATAAATATGTATTAATTATTTTTGCGATATGATTGTTTATTATAGTGCATAGGAAGTTAAAGTTTTTATCTTTCAATACATTTAAAATCGATACTAACAATGAAATATTACAAAAATATGTTCATAAAAAAATGTTATATGGATTATTGATTTTTTTGTTTCATAAAATAAAATAAAAAAAATTGTACGATAACGTATACATCAGACATACATTAAAAAAAAAATAGATGATTTACGAAAACTCTAAAAAACACTTCAAAAACGAATAGAATTTTTGAACTCTACTTCTATACTTCTGAATTCTACAGCTGAAGTAGGTACATATATATATTTATATTATATTTCTATTATCTTGTATGTATTATTCATCATTGTATCTGGACTTATGTCAAACTACATCTTATATTTCTGATGAAGTTTTTAATTTTATTCCCCTTTTCAGCCCTATTATTTATATAATTATAATAATAATCTGTTCATAAAAATATTTTTTTTAGCAAGATTATTACTTTTACTGAGTTATATTAATAACTCCAAATAATTTTATAAAAGATATAACATAAATTCGAATGAATACATAAATGAAAACAAAAATTAGAAACAGTTACAGTTATTGCTCATTGGAAGGAATAGGTGAAATTCGAACACCTTCTTAAAAATTTTTTTCTTACATATTGTCAGGATTAGACGCAATTGCCGACATCTTCTTTCAAACGTGGTGGGATTTTCTTTACAAGAAAAATACAACTATTAACAGAGAAAGACATGTTCACTTCTCCATGGAGAGGGACTCCTCTTCCGTCGGAAGCGGCTTCTTCTTGAGCATGCTGAAACTGTGCACGCTCTCCAGGAAAGACTTCTGCTGGTTCGCGAAGGCCTTGGCGGTCTCCACGTCCTTCTTCAGCTCCTCCATGTCCCTCTTCAGCTTGGCCCGCCGGTTCTGGAACCAGGTGATGACCTGGGCGTTGCTCAGCCCCAGCTGTCCGGCGATCTCATCCCTGTCCGCAGGCGACAGGTACTTCTGGTACAGGAACCTCTTCTCCAGCTCGAAGATCTGGTGGTTCGTGAAGGCAGTTCTCGACTTGCGTTTCTTCTTTGGTTGCTGTCGGTTGTTGTACATCATGTGGCTGCCTTGGCCATCTGGAACATAACAAAGTATCATATTAATAACATTTAGACAGAAAACAACTATAATAACATGTTACAGTAAATTTTCATAATATAATTTAAGAGCAAACTACAGCTGATTCGATCCATAAATATAAGCTATCTGGAAGCTAAGTCGATGTTAAGGTCCGAAGAGATAGGATTCGGATCATCTTCATGAAAGAGGAAGTTAAACCTTCCGAGAACATCTTAGAAAAATACAAGCTAAGGTTGTTCGGACTCCTGCTTAGTATATGATAATGGACTACGAAAGAATCACCAGAAAGACCTAAGAGATCACAGTGAAGAGAAGGAAGCCATGTAGAAGATCATACATTTCCTAGGAACATATTTTTCGTTGTTCTGGAAGCCCGGAATAAATTGATGTAGGAAAAGAGAACTACCCTTAGAACAAGACCCTGGTCTCTACCAACGGTAACCTCACACTACATAGAGGTACTATAAGCATGAAGATTATGATGCCTGTTCACAAACGTTTATGTATCTATTTCATTACCTATATCTGTAACACATTTGTATAATGAAATGGTGAATGAATTGATTGCAAGGATGGCTGCCAGAAATAGGTACTGTTTTGAAATGCGAAAAATATTGAATCACAGATCCCTTTCTTACAGAAAAAAGATAACGGTGTATGAGAAAGTCATCAGACCCGTCGTCACCTATGGCTCTGAGACTTGGGTGATCTCCAAAGCATCCAAAATAAGGCTACTCGCATGGGAGCGAAGGATCTATGGCGGTGTGCGAACAATGAGGAATTCGCACCAATAAAGAGCTGTCCGAGATGTATGCAAGGTCGGATTTGGTCTCAATTGTGAGGAGAAACCAAATCAGGTTTGGCCATGTGGCGTGTATGCCACGAGATGCGATTCCTAAACATTTGCTAGAGATCTGCTGGAAAACGTGGAAGTTGAAGACCACGCCGGAGATGGCTGGGAAAGGTAGAGGACAATCTGAAAAGGATGGGAATTCGAAGCTGAAGAATACTCGGTCGGGATAAAGAAGAAGGATTATAAGAGGAGCCCAGGTTCTTACAGGACCGTAGCGCTAAGAATAAATAATAAATAGAAATATCTAAAATATGTAAATATCATATGATAATTAGTTGAAGGAATAATTAGACGGAACAGAAAAAAAAATCTAACTATCAAGTGACTTATCTCTGACTAATTTATTTGTAAAAGTTAAATAAAATACGATTTGAAATAGTATCAATGAAAGTTTCTATCAAAAATTAGCAGCTCGAAATATGAAGTTTCCTTACATTTTTTTACTAACACAGATATTTGAATAATAAATTTGCAATATTTTTATTGATGATATAAAATCCAAATGATTTGTTTCAGCTTTCTCTGACAAATTTCTGAAATAAGCGATTAATAACAATAAAAAAAAGTAATTGATGGTGCTATAAATAATTGTGATATGTACTCGAAGCCTTGAGATGATACGCGACGATTAAAGCGCAAAATTAAACTCCATTATGGCTGAATCTGTTACAGCTGTCATCTTGACTTTAACAATTCCATCTTACATTATTATTACATTTTATTACAGTACTTATCGACACTGATGAGATCTGTATGATCTATTGTTCGCGATGATTCAGTACCTAACCACATCATCTATCAGAGTTCATTTTGATATCGATGACGACATTTAAAGTACTGATGACAGTCAACCTCCTTTTCTGAATTTAGGTTAAAAGTGTCTTAAGTTTAATAGTTGTGTTCATAGTTGTAACAGGCCTTTTTCTCTTTTAGTAAGAACGTGAATGTAATAATTGAATCAAAACTGTTGGTATTCAGTAGACATGGAATATGATGCTCTACAACTTTTATTCTATAAGCTTGTCCCCTTAGAAATTTCATTTTCAAGATGCAGGGCTATCAACAGTAATTTGTCCCAGTTTGTGACGCATTTGGTAAAAATTAGCGTTTGTTGATCATGATTATTGATCAAACCGCTTAACTAAATTATTAACTTTAGGTACTCCTTCGACTAAAAATTGATCGTTCTTTAATTTCTTAAAGAAAATATTTTTCGCTTCGATGCTCCTTTTAGGAGTTGTAAGTAAAAAAAAGAAAGAAAAAAGCTTTTTTGGGTGTAAAAAGTTTTCTCATGGTGGCTCGCGTTAATAATTGTGTTTTTAAATGTCTCAATAATATATACAAGTTAAAAAAATTAAAACTTTTCTCACGTTTTTCACAATGAATTTCGCGTTTCGATCCTCAAGTAACTGGCCTAATATTCATTTTTTCAGGTAGCGATATCCGACTGACAGACCATAATTTTTTTAAATATAAATGTTAAGAATATTTTAATAATTTTTTTTTTAATTTATTTATTCAGTATTACAACAATCTGTCACTTGGACATTAGTTATAGTGAGGAAGGATAACATTCACACTATATGTACAAAAAATATAAACTAAATAAAAGAAAAATAACAATAAATAAAATAAAATGACCTAAAAATAAGAAAATTATAACTAAGCAAAAACACATGTATACCTACATACACTTTTTACAATCTGGCGATGGAACTTCGAGGAAGGCTTGTCCCTCCAACTGTGGAGGGAAAAGCTGGACTCCAGGAGAACCCTGCGCTACTCTCTCAACCGCATCACTGGTACTAAAGCCAGCGGAGATTAATCGAGAGCTTTAAGAATATTTAAAAAAAAATGCTTTCAAAGTTTTTATTAAATTATGTCGATTTTTTCGCACTAGCTCTCGGACAATTAATAGCCAAACCGCGTATAGACAAACACATCCGTACACACACATAGATCTGGGAAAACCAAATAACTTCCACTATATTTTAACCTTTCAACAGTCCTAGTTGTGTGTGAGATGGGCTCATTCAGTATTATCCTAAAACTTGTTTCATTTATTTATGACATTTGTATGAAACTGAAAAGTATAGTTTCATAATACTGCATCACAAATATAGAGCTGAATAAAAATAAATATTCATTGCTAATAGGACGAAGTGGACCTTCGTACCCCGTGATCAATCAATCATGCGAGAGCACTGACAGCTTCCAACCAGCATATCGGATTACCAAGTAGGGACGTCCGTATATTATAATCAAATCAAACTAGGGAGGGGCTACTTAACTGTAGAAAATATTATAGGAAAAGAAAGAAAAGAAAAAGGAACCCTATCCTATTCTATAAAAAAAAAAAAAAGGATGAAAGACCCTCGATTACCGGCTGACCTGCAACTGTAATAACCGCTTTACCTAACTGCTTTCATATCAGGTACAATCTCAGCTCAAGATATCCTCTATTCTGAGCTATCTATAATCTCTTTCTGTGTCTAGAAATGTACAGATCAATCGTTCTATGGAATGTTTTAGAGTTTCACCTCAACAGTAATGATGACGAACTTCTAATGGCGTGGATGAAAATTCTTAGACAAGTGCTTGTGTATGGAAAAAATAAGAGAGATTTGTACCACACCCTCTTAGTGCTATATTCAATAAGGAATTAAGATAAAAAATGCTCACTTATCCATTTGATTCGCTTCACTATTTCGGGATACCATAAAAGGGATGGAATTAACATGTTGGAGGTAACATTACTTTAAAACTACAATATTTTATCATGGGTGATAAATATTCAGGACGCAGTCTTTTTTAAATTTTTTTTTTTATTTTTGCCAAGGTTTCAACCCAAACATGTGGGTCATCTCGCTGATTTGGGTTGAACCGTTGGCAAAATAAATTTTTTTTTAAAAAAGACTGCGTCCTGAATATTTATCACCCATGATATGTAGAACAGTCGACTAGCTTCCTTCAAGAATTTACAATATTTTATTTGATGGTGTAAGAATAATTAATGGATTGGAATAGACGCGAGTGGCCTAACGTGTGTGCAAAACATGCGTTGCCCGACAACCAAGATAAGATAATAAACATTAACAACATAATATGATAAAATGATTACGAATTCGCGTTCCGGTGCCGGACTTATAACTCTCACATTAATATCCCGCCCTGGAAAATCCCGTATAGTCTAATGGTCGAGGTGGAAGACGACAGAAAAAAAAAAAAAAAAAAAAAAGAAAGTAATTGGGAATGACTTCTCTATGAAACTTTATAGTCCGAGGTATAGATCCATTTTTATCAAATTATTAACATCCGCCTGAAACTTCGTGAGTTATCTTAACACAACCTACAAATATTTGATTTGCAAAATTCTCGGAAATGGGACGTTTTCAATCTGGAGATTAGTAAACATTGTCTATTTAATGATGTACTAAAAACTTTTAATCGTAAGATAAACAGAGTTGAAAAAAAATAAATAGCCTACAAAAATATTGGCCGTTTGTCCTATATCACCTCATTATTATGACAATGAATAACACGCCAAACGGACCAATATTTTTGTCGGTAACCTTTTGGACTTTATGGTCATATTATCTTACGATTAAAGTGGAAAGCAAATGAGTATTCATGAGTTTTTAGTACCTAATTAAATAAACAAAGTTTGCCGATCTCCAGACCAAAACGCCCCAATTCCGAGAATTTTTATAAATAAAATATTTGTAGGTTACGATGAGATAAAGCTATTCACGAAGTTTGAAGTTTCAGGTGGATTTTAGTAATTTGATAAAAATGGGTCTGCACCACGGACTATTAAAGTTAGTAGACTATCATACCGAAACTTGTTACTTAATGTTGGATACTAAAAAGTGACTTAACTCACCAAGTTCATCCATTTTAAGGTAAATATTATTTAAATATAATACAAATATATTATTATGTTTTTGAAATCTACTATAAAGATATCTTGTTTTTTTAATTTAAAACGAAAGAAAAATATAAGAAACAAGAATTAAATAATAAACTCAATTTAAATTGTTCCAGAAACCATTAAATGTAACTAAAGCAACACAGTAAAGAAATGTATAAAAGTGTTATAGAGCGCTGACAACAGTAGGAACACTCAAATGCACATGTCATTAT